ATTATCGATTATAACGTTCAATGATGGATCTGCAGATTCTTTTGATATACATATTTCTAGAGAGATGTTATTCTGAATTATGGAATGGGGATAATATGATATGAAATCAACATCCGCAACAGGCCTTTTAATATTTTTGTTAGGAGGAATAACTAAAGCTCCTGCGTATTTTCCTTGATAGACTGTTCCTTTACGGCGAGAAGAAACTAAATTTTATCTGAAGCGGCGCATCTACAAACTAAATTTCGTACCAAACAACCGACTCTGTTCGTGAAAATATTTGAAATAGTTACACATGATATGGTCGCTGTTGAATATAATCTCCTATTATATTTCTTTTAAGGTTTAATTCATGTAATCGTAAAGTATTGACCGAACAATAATATGCTAACTCGATAGCATAATCTTGTAGAATCGAATCAGGAACATGGAATGCTGCTAGACAGAGCGATACTGGGATTTTGATCATTTTTGATAGCTGTTCGGATAATCTATTCAATATTTGACTGTTGTTTTTAAACTTTATCGCATTTGCATAAACAAACATGCAACGTAGATCGATAGAATTTTTAGCAGAAACATATGGTAGATCGATTTTTCCAGAAAGACCGCAGCGTTTTAACACAGCATTGAGAGTGTTGGTTATCTCTGTTTGAAATGTTTTCTTGGCCCAAACAAGAAAATCAAGGAATACAGTTCCTGGCGCTCTCATAAATTCACATTGCATATTCTCAGTTGGAGATATTTTTATATTTCGATTGAACATATTGATGCCGGCAAATTCATATTTCAAATTTTCTTTCGATATATCTCTGTCAACAACTCTGACAGTAATCCGATTTACTTGAAACTTCATATCTGTTTCTGTTTTGGTCAATATTCTGGTAAACTCATCATCGATCTGTAAAAGTTTAGCTTTCTTAAGTATGAAATTCCAATCAAATTGACCTGTGTTATATCCTATCTCGAAATCCGGTTTAAAATTTCTGAATAATTTAGCGAATTTTAATAAGAGTTTTTCTTGGGATTCTAACTCGAAAAATATTATTGATGTTTCAGGATATTTCTGATTAAATCGTTCACTATTGATAGGTATGGTTGATAAACAAAATCGTTGACTAGGAGATGTTTGATTGTAAAAAACAATGTCAAATTGAATCATGTAAATATAATCTTCTTCATTCTCTGCTAAAGGGAAATATCCTGGACCACGACTAGATGAAGTTTCAATATCCCAATATAGTATCAAAAGCTTAGGTATCTCATAGTAATCGAGTTTCTTTATATCATTTAAAGTAATCAACATGTTGTCGTAAATAGTTTCGGTAGTGATTTCGTACCATCCAACTAACTCAAAATCGTTTTCGCTCGCGAATTTTCTATAGTAGCATGTCTCATTATCCGAATACGTGTCGTAGTATCGATCGAATTTTTCTATACTTTTGAATCGAGAATTATCAGGATTCTGAATAAAATTGTCACGTTTTATCGTGAGTTTTTGTAAAGCTTCTTTATGTTTTCATTGATTACGAAAATATAAATGTAAAAAATAATATTTTTCTGTTGAATCAAAAGGTTGTCGTTCGATTCTTTCGTAACTATCCGGTCCAAACTCAAGAATGTAATATATAAAATTGAATTCAGGATAAAGTTTAATATCGAAAAAAACAGAATCGACAGAAATATTTATTGTGAATTTTGTTCCATCCTCTCGAATAGTCAACAAAGATAACATATATTTTTTATCGGGGTGGGATGTAGAATCAATAGCATCATATATGTAAAATCGATTTGATTCGATCGGTTCTATTAATTTCGAACGGCAATATAATAAAGTTCCTTCTTCTTCAATATTGTCAGGCTCAAGGACAATATCAGGTGAAGGAGATATGTTTGATGAAGAATTTATTTTTACATCTGAAAAAAACTAACTGGTTTAAAAAACTAGATAGTTGTCAAATAACGAAATACAGAATTACGATTAGATAAATATTCAAAATTCAAAAAGTAAATATCGTAACAACTTTTGCATATCTCATGAAAATGGTACGCTGAGTCAGAAGAATATCCCGAAACTTTACAATCATAAAATTGATCTTTAAAAATTATAAACTACTTTTGAAGAATTGTTTCTTTTAAACATCGGTCACATTCTTTTTTAGATAATTCATATTCTTCAGTGGTTTGCAAC